ATATATAATTATTATTATTATTAGTCAAAGAAAGAGGGATGATTAATTTGATTTGATCTTGTCTTTGTGTTTTCCACAACTCTGTTTGATAACCCGGATGCCTGAACAGTAACCACACAACAAACCAGCCTAACACGTCCGCAGCGAATTCACGAGATGAAAACAGCAGTCTTCTGATTCATTTGTGAAATTATGTATTCATGGGTTTCTCTTCTGAAATGGCATTTTCCAAACAGAAAGCAGCACCCTGTGAGCCTTGAGTGCTTTGTGGAATTGTTTAATTGGTTTGCGCTTTCGTTCAATTGATTGCAGGATTTCAGGGAGAGTGTTGTGATGCAGGCTAAAAGCTCCAGGACAGTGTGGAGAGATGAATTGTGGGACATAAAAGAAAAGGTCAGTGGCTCTGGTGTAAAGGGCACCGCTCACTGTGTATTAGAATGGAATAATTGACAGATATGCTTGTTAATTTGTTTTATATAAGAACACACCCTGATAATTGAAAACAGCATTGAAAAGCATGTGTTTACTGCATTCTTTTTTTTTCTTTTGTTTAGTGTTCAACCATTTAAATATGAGGGTAAACAACATGAACTAGACTTTCTCATATTTTGAAGAAAATGTGAGTGGCGCTTACATTTGTAAAACTCAAATTGCAATTCAAATTTGAATTAAGGGAAGCAGAATTCAAATTAATTGAAACCCAAAGAAACGCCTTTATACCTTTTTTAGAGAAAAGCAAAGTTTATTGAGACAAAACTTGAATGATAGATATATAGATAGAGAGAGACAGACAGAGAGAGAGAGAGACAGACGAAGGATGGATGATAGATTGTGGTTGCTAAGGTTTTCTGAGTGTGTTTTTTGTTGTTGATATGCAGTTGGGTGTGTGTGTGTGTGTGTGTGTGTGTGTGTGTGTGTGTGTGTGTGTGTGTGTGTGTGTGTGTGGTAATTAGGGAGTTCTGGGTGGTTGCTTACTGGCCTAAGTCAAAAGTCCCAAGGCACTATTAAAAAAAAAAAAAGCAAAAGTTTATTTGCCACATGGAAGTACTTCAGCATTCCCTAGAAGAATCTGTTCTCATTAGTGTGGGTGATGTGTGTGGAGAGGCTGCCATTATGAGTGAATGTCCAAACTCCAAAATCCATTAATTGTTTGTCTAAAGCTTTGAGCTTTCATCCCTGTCCTCGATTCTAATTTAGCACCTTGACTGTGACTGGATCCTCGTAGATAATTTGCTTTTGGTTTTCTCTTTAACGGCTTCGCACAGGATGTTTGGATAGGTACAGAGGAACACATAACTAAGAGCTACCAACTGCGGTCTTCATCAAACTCTTTTGTATGCTCAGGAAATTCAAATTTTTAAAAATGTTTCCTCATTATTTAAACATCCGCATCTGTTTTCACAATGGGTGGCACTTAAAGATAATGAAGCCTAATAAGCCTTTAATGCTGGTTTTAATGCATTCACAAAGAGTACACAAAAGAACAGATGGTGGGTTCTAAATCCACATCTCACCCCAAAACCTTTGGTGTTGTGTATGTGTGTTCGTGTGTGTGTGTGTGTGTGTGTGTGTGTGTGTGTGTGTGTGGGGGTAATATCTGTATTTAAAATACCCAGCATGCAGCTGCAGCATCCTTTGTCCTTACTGATGGAATGTTCTGGCTTGCCCTGAAACATGCTGTTAAAACATTCAAAAGGGGAAAATGTTTTTACAACTCAAAATATGTCTCAGTTCAAGGAGAAGGAGATATGAGAGCAGCAACAAAGGGGAAGATTTTCATTGAGTATTGACTTAAATTTGGTCTATTTCAGTCATATGGGCCAGCGTTTTCAAACCTCTCTAAATTTCAGAGAAAAAAAATTGAAAACAAAGATTTATAGTAGAAACACCATGGTACAAATAAATATAATATTATTTATTGTTTCTGATTATATATATATATATAGTTTTCATTTTATTACATTTATTATTTTATATATTTTTTATTTTTTATTTAGATTTTGTATAATGCACAACATAAATGGCAATTATTTAATTATTAACCAATTTTTTTTTTATCACACCATTTTTCTCACACAAAATAATTGAATCTTAAAATATACAGTATATCTGCCTTTGCAAATCAAGAATGGGTCCTTTGCACGGAGATTATCATGTTGAGGGTCCTTGGGATCGTACAGTTTGGAAACCCCTGACATGAATTACTTTTATATAGTTTTTGGTCCTTTTGGAGCTTGACTTGGTCATTGTGAACCATGAACTGGAAAATAAATGCATTGACTTTCTTCTCCAGTAAATAAAAAATCATGTGGGTTTGGACCAATATGAGAACAATATTTAGTTCTCTATTCCTGTTTTAGATTTAGGCCTCTTAGATCTACCTATAGAGTCTAAATCAATATAGATGCAGAAAAATGAATATGCAGGCAAGAGAGAGGCCCTATAGAAATGCATTTATTCGCTCCCAGAGACATGGTTTCCTATCTAGTGAGTGATTTTGGCGGTGTTTGGAGCGCCCACTGTCTGCTGATGGCTGTCTCAGTCCAGTGAGCTCTGCAAACACACAGCAGTCTCCTGCAGTCAGTAATATTTAAGAGCCGCAGCTCGGTAAGATGTGGTTATTAAGCCATTCTCCCTTTGCCTCATAAAATACTCCAGTTCCAGAACAGCAGTAAGTGCCCTTATCAAGCAGTCTGTTTATTTTCTTGTGTCTAGAATAGAGGTGTTTACAGGTTATTTGCTGTGAATCTTAACAAGAACTCTTCATTAAAGTGCCCAATTCTATGTTTAGCCCATCTAGTAAAATAAAAGCTTTCATTTGAGAGAGAATGCTTTAGGCTTTAGCCATTGTGCTGGTGTTACAAACTTGAATTTGTTATTTTCTTTATTTGGCCTAATCTATATAACTGCTAGATGGGTTCTAAAGCAAGATCTAAACCAGATAGTTGAGGTCTTGTATTGATCCACTGCATATTGTGCCAAATAAAGGCCTTTAAAACTTAAAGAACTTGTTCATTTCATTTATCTTTTTACCGTCCTGTATTTTTACCCTTATCCCAGACTCAGACTTTAAATCTTAAAAGATGTAAATTCACCATAAAAAATTTAAAATTCTAATGACTTTCAGGGTGAAATAATTATCAATGAAAATTACGAAAATTATCACAATAAACTCTTTTGCCCCAATACAATTTTACCCTCCTAGGCAGCAAGAACTTGAGATGAATTATTTATATTCGTTTTTATACTGTACAGACCGTATATTCTATTGCCCTACACCAACCCTACCCCTAAACCTACCCCTTACAGGAAACTTTGTGCTATTTCAGATTTTCAATACACTCCATTCTGTGTGATTTATAAGCGTTTTGAAAAGTGGGGACATGGGGTAATGTCCTGAAAAGTCACCTTCTCCTTGTAATACCTGTGTCATACCTTTGTCATTATACAAATTTATGTCCTCATTTGTCACAAAAATGCGCACACACACTCACACACACACACACATGTATGTATGTATGTATGCACAGTGGATAAAGAACCCCCTTTAAAATAATCACATTTCATGTAACTATAACTTAAACAGAATAATAACTAATAACTTTTATGTTCAACAGAAGAAACTCATTCAGATTTAAAACAACTGGAGATTGAGTAAATGACAGAATTGTCATTTTTGGGTGAACTGTCCCTTTAATGGTAATAAAGCAATAAAACAAAAAAGAGCTCTTGACTGAAAAACTTAAATACAGTAGCTTTAATAAGAATCAATGTATAATTTATTAATTTATACAGTGAAGTGTATATAGTGTTTTATTTTTATATTTGTTCATTCAATTTATTGAATGCTACTGCTAAATACACCTACTGTACCTGAAAAATAAAGCACTGTTTGATATATTTGTATATTATGTGTATTTGTAATGTCTATCTTTGTTCTTATTTTTTAATAACAAAGATACAATAATGACAAAGGTTTTTATCTTTGCCCACTTTGGCCTACATATCTGCCATTCTTTTTTATTTTATATTTTGTTATCTTGTAAGGCTTTGCTCTAAAAAAAAAAAATAGGGACATTAGTTTGGCTGTAATGCTCAATCAACTTGCAAAATAGTAAAACCAACATGACAAAGAATCGTGATAAAATCGTGAATTGTGATTTTCCTGAAAAAAAAAAAATGGTGATATCATAATTTTGCCAATATGCCCACCCATAACTATATGCTACTGTTTATAATTATATTATGTATGTTATTGATAGGGTGAAATAATCATAATCCATTTCGAAATTTGTTGTGTGAAAATGATTTTTATCAATAAAAAAAAAATAAAAAATTGTCTCCCATCTCCAACACAAACTTTTTTCCCTCAAATATTAGTGTACTTTGTTACCAAGGCAACAAGAAGTTGAGATGAGGCATTTGATGTGTGAGGAAAACAAGATGTGTGAAGAAATATTAAGGTAAATATCACTTTATATTCACAATATTTTTATTTCGATGTAATTTGCATGTCAAATTATGAACAATATGTTACAGTGTGTATTTAGGGTGCATAAAATGCTAGCTATTAAAAAGTAGCCTTAGCAAGACAAAGTAGTCAGCCATTTTAACATTTAACTATTGAGAGTGTAAAAATGTTTTTAAGAGGATTTATTTTCTAAAGCTCGACAGGGCCAAAAGTGCATGTAGTTGAATAAACACCTACTATATTTACAGTACTGCCCATCATGATATATTGTGTCATTTAGATGTTTTCTGCTTCATCTGAAAGGTTTATTTCTCCAGCTTGTTAGAGGATCTTTTCAGAATATAATTTATTTTGCTTTAGAACATGTGGTTCAGCTAAATGGAATGTATGTGTAATCTATGGTTACAATGAAAGCTTTCTGTGCACGTGGGTGGAAGATAAACCAGTGCTGAATGGAGTTTTTGTAGCATGTATGAAGATGAATTTCATAAAGCACAACATCATCGGTCTTCTCAGATGTATCACTTTGAGAAATAATAATGAATATTAGGGGTTTCTCGCAAGGTTGTGTTGTAAACTGCTGTGTTGTAAAAGGCTGCTGAATCCTGGTGTGGGCGACTTGTCATTGAAAATGTCCTCTCGGCTGACAAACTGTCATTTACAATGCTTCGGAGATGACAAAACATGATAGCAATTTCACTCGGCCCCCCTTCCCGTATTCGAACACGCACGCATATTCAAAGCGAAGGAAAAAACACATTCTAATTAACATTCCCACTGACCCGAGAATAAACATTTATTTTCCCATCTTCTGCACACCTCGAAGATTTTCTGACACTGTCCTTTGATAGCTTCCGTGACTAACATTTCCCTTTCCCAAATTGTACTTCCTGCCTGTAAGTTATGCATCAGATTCATGCATAATTAATTTTGTATTTACCACTGTCTTATGATGAAAGTAGCCAAACAAATTATTATTTCAAATTATATACACCATTATTGAGGTGTGCCGGCCACCCCCATTAAAAATGTATGTTTTCTTTTTTGAACGATAAA